CTCCGTCTCTATCTGCCCCCCTCCAGCTGTCTCTTTCTGCCCCCCTCCAGCCGTCCCTGTCTGTGGGAAAATGTGTAGCGAAGCGTGTAAACTGGGTATAAAGGCAGAGCCATTTGGGGCGTGGTCGGGCGGAGCATTGTTTGCCACTATTACTGGGCCAAGAGGGGTGGTGGAGGGTGGAGGGTGGAGGAACATCTCTGATTCCGCCTTAGTCTAGGCGCAGTCTGCGCCAGTCGAGCCTTTGCCATAATAAAAGATGACATTTTATAGCAGTCATAGCCATGTTAGCAGAGCAAGGAGCTGGATGCTCGGTGGTTTTGGGCCTTTTGGCCTAGCCGCCTGCCGGATTGGAAGCCAGAAGCCGGAGGCACGACAAAGACACAGCTGCAAAAGTACATAAACCCAGAAATGTCATGTTTATTTTCATTTCATAAGGAAATTGTCTGCCTATATAGTTTGGCCTGAGAGGAGCAGCACCTGGAAGAAGTTTCCCAATAAGGAGTCAGGTTCAGCAACGCGGGGGGTTAGCTCGCTGGAATTGTCTTGCCATTTTTATGACCCCCACATAAAGTCGCAGCAAGCTGAACGATTTACGGCCATTCAGCAATTTATGGCCCATAATTAGCATATGAAATGGTTAAGTGCACCACAAATTGCACTTAAGTGTAGTGCACATGCGGCTGAACCGGAAATAAAGTTGGCTAAAACCGATATTAAATTGAATTCGAAACTGTTTTGGGGTCGATTTAATGGCCCTTGATGTGGGTTAATCTTTGATACCAACTTTTGAAGCGCACCCATTACTTTGAATTTTCCCAACTCGCTAATGGCTTAAAAATCGGGCACAAATTATCCCCATTAAATATTCAAATTTCTGAAAAGTTTGCAGGAGCACTTTTGCCACTTTGAGCGACTGCCACAGGTTGAATCTTCGCACACCACACACGCCGCCTCGAAAATATCCACTCATCTAATCGCATCGTTAACATCATCAGCAATTTTGCAATGTCATGGCCCGAACAATGGCCAAAAGAAGAGGACTGGAGGCCCCCAGACTAGCTAGCCGTTTAATCATTTTGTCACGCGTTGGCTAAACAAAAACGGCGGCAAAAGGCTGGCGGGGAATTTAATTTTAGCATATGTCATAAGGGTTTAGCCATGATTTATACGGCGAAAGGCAGCCATCAAATGTCGGGACAGAGCTTGTAATAAAGGGAATTAGGCAATCCCCAAGAGAGGAGCCCAGAAAAGGGACCAATGCGAAACTAAACGATTCGGGAAGCTCGAACAGCAGATGCAGCTATGAACATCGGCGGGATAGCATGACCATTACTCTTCCGGGGCCGTGAAAGGAGAATCGCTACAGCTTCATATATCTTCATTTGAGCAGCACTTGCACTGTGAAAAATGTACCACTATTGCCCCGGGACTTTGGGCCCTTATCAGCATACGTATCGCGCAGTGTAGGGTGACATGGCAGCGCTCAGCTGTGCACAAATTCGCTTGTGTATAAATATTTATATATTGAAATCCAATGCGAATCGATGGGAATGGAGTTGAAATCGGAGTTTAAGCCGGAGTTGGAGTCGAGTTCGAGCAATGTGCCGCAATGCAATCGAGCTAGACGAAATTGAATTTGCAGCAAGTTACTCAGGATTCGGCATCCGCATCCTCATCCGCATCCGCATCCCTATCCGGGTCTTCGTCTTGATGCACAGTTTGTCCTGTTTGAGCATGCGAAAATGCGATTTGAGCCGCTCCACCCCACCCCACCCCCAACCAACTTCCTGGCCTGGAAAAGTTTTCTATCGCTTGTTGTTGCCTGTAGCTGCCTGCTATTTTTCCCGGGTGGAAAACTGGGGCCTGAGCTGTGACAAATCTTTATGCAATGTTGCATGTCCTCTGATTTGCCATGATGACATGCTGATGGAATAAGTAGAGGGACGGCAAACGGAACTAAAACTATGACTGTTCCACGGTGACTCTGACTCTGCCTCTGTATCTGTATCTGACTCTGTGAATGTAAATGTATCTGCATCTGAATCTGTATCCGTAGTTCTGTGCCATTTCTATCTGTCTGTGCCAGTGATTTGCTCGCCGAAGCGTTAAGCACAAAAATTGGTAATGGCTGTGGCTGTCCCGTTTTTGGCAATCATTGCGCAGGTTTTATATCTTTATGTTGGTTTCTTTCTGTGATAGGTTTTCGATTTGGCCAGGGCCACAGAATGCCATCGATTTGATATGTTGTCTGATGCAAGATTGTTTGAGGCAGAGCAGCAACCCAAACGAAAGTTTAAGGTTGCTTTCAGAGTTCAAGAATTTCCAGCAATATTACCATAGCTGTTTCTGAGCTCTGCTTGATTAAGAGCTGTTGAAATTTAATTAATTTCTTTCGTCTTGCCATTTGGCCACAGATTTTCAACAAGGGCCGCAGGCATAAGCAGCTTAAACATCAAAAGACACTGAAACTTAATCAGGCAACCAGACCCTTTCCTCAAGACTCGACTTGAATGCAAAATGCTCCCATCGCTCTGCTAATTGCATTAATATCTTTGCAGAACATGATTTACAAAATACAAAATAAACACAAATAATGGAAGTATCGGGATAGGTGAGCCCCGCATCCGAAATGTGCGAGTGGAAACTTTTCATTATAAATTGCGTGCCAGCTGTCAACATGGTGTTTGCCCCGGGGCCAATTGAAATGGATTTGAGGAGGAGCGGGGCAAGGGAACTCTAAAGGCGTCCCGATGGAATGGCGATGATAAGGGGGCGTGGCACTGGCAGTTGAAAGGCTAATTTTGCACATTTGGACTGACATCCATGAGGAGCAAATGCGTTGTGGGTTATCATTTGGTTAGTCCGCTCGGAGAAAGGGGCAGTGGCGGTGGCGTGGGCGTGGCAGGGCAGGCAATTTCATGGTTAAATGATTCAGAAAGAGAATTTCAAAATTAGGACTTGGCCCAGCCCCCCGGTTAACACAATGTAATTAACTTTTGCGCGACTGCCTCGCCCTCTCAATATATTTGATATTTATTTTGGCCCTCTGGGTGCACTTTGGTCACTCGTCCGCTGACAACTTTTGCCTCTATGGAGCGGGACTACGCCGGATGTACTGCCCATCTTCCTGGGCCCCCCTCCCCCACCACCGCACTCGCCGTCCCTTTCGAGCGGCTTTTCGAAAGCAATTTGAAACAAATTTTATTGCCAAAGTTTTTGGAGCACATGGAAAATTGTTCAAGTGCCACCGCAAACAAAAAAAAAAGTTACCAACCAAGATGCCGCTCTGATCCACAATTAGTCCTATACAAAAGTGTGTTAACTGCTCTTGGATTGCAAATAAAATGAGACGAATTTGGGTGGAAATTTATAGTTTGGTTGCGGAATGGGGGAGAGAATTGAAGGGTTCGATATCGCAGCTGTTAAAGGGCGGCTTTAAGTGCCGCTTACAGCTGGGGCATCGGGGCCAGTAAGTCCGCAAGCCTCGTTGCGCTTCATGACCAACTTCCATGGCCGGCGCACAGTGCGTATGCGTAATAAACAAAACAACTGCAGTAACAATCGCTCCTTGTGCGTGTCTGTGTATGTGTGTAAGTGGGCTTTATTAAAATTTACAACCAGGCAGTCGGTACTGTTGAGCTTTCCTACGCACACTGGTCATGCCCCGCCCTCTGACCCCCCCTTCCCTCTCCGCCCGTGCCCTGCCCTGCCCATACAATCCCTGAATGGAGCGGTGCACGCCCACTCCCTGGGCGCACATTGTGCTCAGTGTTTGGCGTTTGCCTCTGTTGAATAATAAATTGTATTTTGCGGCATTTAAAAGCAATTTTTTAACATTTTTCAATCTCAATGGCAATGCCTGAAACGGCAAGCACGCACACCATCATAAATATCCACAAACACTGGCACACAAGCGATGGCACTGGCACATTCATATCCGTATACTTACACTGAGAAAAATACTCAGTGACCGGATTACCAATTTTCAATAATTTATATTTTCAGATATTTGCTGCAACAATTTCGATGACGATGTGATTCTAGATAAATAAATTAGCTTATATTTGAGTTTTATCTCAGTTGTTGTACACCATTTTCTAAGGACGTAAATTTAAGATATGAGGTTGGTATATATTTATCAAGATAAATTATAACGGTCCCTTAAACAAAAATTACAAATATAAAAAAAGGTTTAGATAAGAAAAAATAAATAAAAGTCGTGCTATAATTTTAGTCTAAATATTATAACTCGGAGAGGAAGAGTAAATAAGTCATTATATTTTGATTTTATATTTTTATTTAGCAACACCATGTAATAAAAGCTATACAAATATGTATCTATCATAATCCTCTGTGTGTTCACAGAGAATTTTTGGATTATAGGTGAATAGGGATTTTCGGCAGTGTAATTATATACATGGAAGAGTAGAAGAGGAGCCCGTGCGGAGCCCGTTGTGGCACAGTTTTGTCTACCAATTTTGCAGTGAATTGTCCTGGGAATCTCTGAAGCCAAGGCTGTCAAATCGTAGCAACAACAGCCACCTCTCCACGCACCGAGATGGATAGAGATAGATGCAGGGGAGGTGGGAGTTGGAGTGGAATTGGGGGAATTTTTGGCTTAGACTTGGAGCTGGAGCATTTTCGGACTGGCTCCCTGTGCATTTAGTTAAGCTTCAAGTGAAGACAGCAACGATTCGGCAGTGAAACAAATTGCAGCATTTAAGTTCCCCTACACCCGCCCGCCCCTTGCACTTCACAAATTCTGTGCGGCAGGAGACGCAAAACTAGTCGAAAATGTTCGTTCTTGTGTGTCGGGGCTGGCAAACAGTTTGCGTAAAGTTTGATTATGTGTGTAAACCGGCCAGTATTTTCCATTTCAAGTTGCCACACTTTGCATGTGCCAATGCTGGCGGCGGCAATGTTCGGAACAACAGCTGGCCATTATTAGAAACGAATTTCATGTCGATCTTAACAGGCCAGTCGAATTAGTTCAACGCTCAGAAACATATAAGTTTTGCTGGAACTAATCTGAAGGTATCGATTTAAGAATCTGGAGATGGAGCAACGTCTTTCTCGTCGTCGTAGATGCAGGCAAAAAAGAAGTGCCAGGAGGTAGATATGTCATTATCTAATATTTATACCCGTTACTCGTACAGTAAAAAAAAATTAAAAAAGGTAGAAGGAAGCGTTTTCCTTTTAAATTTATATATATATTGTTGATCAGAATCAATAGCCGAGTCTGTCTGCTGTCCGTCTATCTGTCCGTCCGTTTGTCCGTCTGCCCTCTTCTGAATCTTTTCCTCTGTATGAACGTCAAGATCTCGGAAACTACAATAGCTTGGGATTTTAAAGATTAGATTATGGTTATCAATATGCAGCGCAAGTTTATTTAGCCACGCCCAAATGTCGTCCCCAAATAATTATGACGACACAGTATATCCGAAAAACGGAGTTCATATGTTATGTTACGCTGCTCGCATTCAGCATATGGGATTGTAACTCCCGTTCGCCAGATGGCGCCACCAAAAATTTTCCAAATGCGACATATTTGTTTAAAAATTGTTTAGCTGAGTAACGGGTGAATTATAGTCGAGGCACTCGACTATGGCGATTCTCCTTGACTTAGATCACGATTTTATCTCTTAAATTTTCAGTGGACTTTGCAAATTCTTGCCCGATTTGAAATGCAAGTCACTGGATGGCGTGCGTCGCCAGGTCAAGGATCAGCTGCGTCTCGTCCTGCCGTCCGCTGGTTTCTATAAGAACTCCATGCGGTTCTACAAGCGCTGCACAAAACCAGACCGCCAGGAGTTCCTGCGCATCAGCGCGGCCATCGGCGTGGGATTCCTCATCATGGGCGTAATTGGATTCGTGGTTAAGCTGATGCACATACCCATCGTCAACATAATCATGGACTGAACTTAAATGCTTTAGCGGAAATAAAGTTATTTGGCCAAAAGCCAATGTCGTCGTAAAGAGGACAAGCTGGTTGTGTTGACCTAAGAGTGTTGACAAGATCATCTCTCTTTCTTGCCAAGTTTTTTTGGTTATACCCACTAGTCGTGTTGTAAAAAGGGATGTTGCATTCTTAACATTTTAGGAATATGTATATGAATAGTTTCAGACCCATAAGATTCCACTTTTAGCTATTTATTAGGCAGTTTTTTTTTACATAAAAGTTGTAAAATATATGGCTGAAAGAAGAATCGTTATTATTATGCATGTAAGTAAGTAAATTGTTTTACTTGTTTGGGATTTCTTGTTGATACAATTGGATTTCAATAACCCAATTTTTTTCCAATCGAATAACTTATAAAAAATTTGATTATAATTAACTCATAGAGAGGATGAAACTTAAGTACCGATTATATTTTTGTCGGGTTATTGCTTATTCTTTTTTTCTATTTCGGTTCGCTAGGAAAAACATTCAGCGTTGCCAAAAGTCCACAAATATATGTTCGCACTCTATATTTTTTTGTGGGTGAATCAAGGCCTTTGGAAGGGGTCTTACCTGCAGACAGATTTGGCAGGGAATGGGAAAGGTGGAATAGTTTGCTAGCCAGCTAAAGCCAAGAAAATTGTTCCCTTAAAGTATTCGCTGTATTTGTGGCGATTAATTTTAAACGACTATCCTATCGAAATCCCTCAGGGAAACTGCATTCCAATGCGAGTTTTATTTTTGGGTAGAAAGAAAAAACTTGTTGGCCAAATCAGTGGGCAACGCTTTTATCTGAGCACTTGCAGCAGCTGCGGAGGGAATCGGGTGCCGGGTCCTTGACGCATCAGTATCCATATCCCTTGGACGCTTGCATGTGCATTGTCACATGTGTCTCCATTTGCTGCTGTTATGTTTTATTGATGAGTCTCGCAAACCAAAATTGATGATGCCTCGATGTCCTCGTTCGCGTCCTTGCGGCGTCGAGGAAAGCACAATCGAGGTTCCTTGTTGTTCCCGCTGTTGCCGCCGGCAAATGGGGAAAATTTATTCAAAACTTCGACGCAGTTGCATCCTTTAACGGCTCGTCCGTGCAACAGGCGTCAAAGGAGCTGACGGAGGCAAATTGACGTGGTCTGGGTTAACAGACAGGCCCCCTCCACGGGAAACTTTTAAAAGTTGAAATTACTGAGATAAATGTATTGGACGGAGAGTCTTTTAACTGAAGTAGGTTTTTTCCCCCTATATGTCAAAGGCGCCGGACGTGAACTATCAAAATTGAGTAAAAGCAATATTATATTATTAACTATATGAAAGCAGGAAATTAAAATAAGAGGATACTGCAGCACGGAAACTTTTAACCGTTTTGTGAGTGAATGAATACTTTTTGAACAATAATTCTGATTTTTTTACGTTTATAAAGGATTAGTTTTCAAGACAGTTCCTATTTTCCTTTACCATCATCGCTGTTTATCAAAATATATAAAATTTAACGACATTTACTTCGAGTAATAAGTAAAAACACTTTACATTCACTTACATTGGATTCAAAGATTTTTGTTTAACTACTTATAAGTTGAAGCTCGAAAGTTTGTCAAAACTATTATATGAAAAAAATGGAAAATAAACAAAATGTATAATCCTCTGTATTTTTTTGTGAAAGGTATCGGCTTAGTATGGCATCTATTGTATTTGTATCGAAAATTCATATTGCAGTCCAAGGACATCCAATCATGTGCTTCTTTATGCATGCCCTATGTTGCGTGGTTCTAGCTCTCTTCTTGATGCATTTTAATTAAAAGTGAAGTGCGGCCATTAATTTGCAACTACAAATTACACTCAATAAAACATGTCTGCCACACTGATTTTTCGGCACGAACCGAGTGCACAAGAGAAAGAAGTGTATGTGTGTGTGCGAGAGACTGGCAATCAATTTGCACTTTGACTACAATTACTGATTTTCGACACTTCAAAGGATTTTATAAATTGCCATTTGCTCTCAGCCCTCAAAAAAAAGTTCTTCGTTGCTGCTCTGACTTTGGCAATTTGTTTTTGCCTTTTCCCTTGCCCACACACACACACACACACACACTGACACACCCACACACTCGCAGGCTCACACGGACACGGTCACATGTGTTTTTTGTTCTCCTCCTGATTGCGCCTACCATGTACAACTTTAATTAACTCAATGTGCGACTCCTGCGGCCAAACGGCAGGCGGCAGTCCAAAAAGGCCAGGACTTGAAAGTAGTGCCTGCGTGGCAAATTCGGAGGCAAAAGGAGCCAAGGAGTAAAGTGATTTTTTGTTAGGTCGGCTTGCTGCAAATTAGTTTTTGGATAAATGGAAAAGCTAATGAGGGACACCGAATCGAGCTAGACAAGGTGGCAAAAGTTAAAGACATTCGGGCCGACCAAAGTTGAAATTCCCCCGCCTCCGAACTTTAGGCCATGTTTTCGGCTTTGAAATTTCCATGCAAAGCCAAGATACACGCATAAAGCGGAAAACATTTTTACACATATGACTGACGCTGATTGCGTTTGTCACGTCGGCGAAATAAAATTGCCGTGCGACCCAAAAACTGACGGCTAAGCGAACCAGAGAGGTGCCCAAAAAAAGGGGGAAAATATCGTAGGAGAAAGCAGTGATTAAGAGATCCGACGGTAGAGTACCCCATGCTCAAAGCCAAAAAAAAAAAATGTTTTTTAATTTTGTATGATTAAATAAAAATTTTGGTTTGATTTATTTTACAAACGATTTGGTGTGGAACAGGGGGATATAGAGTTTATTATTTGGATGGTACTTAAAGAAGAACTGAGGTCTATTAGTTATGGGACTCCATCAATAGAATCATGAAAAAACTTCGCGAGTAACTGGTATAAAAATCGGGAAAAGAAAAGACCCTAAAACACGAATACCCCGGATTTTTTATGTTGTCCTTGTGGTGTTGGCCTCTTCTGGCATTCCGCTTCTATATATGTATATGCGCACCTCATCCCGTTGGTTTTGTGTGCTTTTCTTGCATCTGCGCCAAAAACCGGGTAACGGGAGCGGAATTGCAGTAAAATCGTCATCGATGAACTCGGCGACCTCTTTACGCATGCAAACAACCACACACACAATCGCGATTCGGGCCTCATCCGTCCAGCATTGCGTATACGTAACGTACGCCAGACGATTGTCGCAGTTGCGGAATATTTGCATAATTTAGCGATTGAATTTTATGCTCAAAAGCAAAGCGCAGCAGCTGCTTTTCCCCCTCATACATGGCCGTATATCAGACGAAAGGGGGAATTGCTTTTCATATATTAATAATATAATTTTTGCTGCATTCGGCCGTGGCCAGTAGCTTCCGAAGAGCATCGGCATCATTATTAAGCCGATGATGAAGATCATTCTTGCCGGGACATGGACAATAATTGCATGCAACATAATTAAAGCCATTAAAGCACTTAAGCTGCCGGAAAACCCAGGACATGGCATATGGCCGTGGCTATAGGCAGTCGGCCAGGGGGAAGTTCGGAACCCGGGATCCGGGACTCGGGGTTCGGGAGGCAGCGATAGAGTGGCCCTGGTCGAGTCATGTTTGCATATGCATAATTATGATGAAAACACATTTAAATGCATTTAATCGGGCGCATAGCCAGCCTCGGAGGGGAACAGGAACATCGGGAGGGGACGGGCGTGGATCGTGGTCAGTTGGGTTTGGTCGACCTGGTTTGGCAGGTGGCTTATGGCCACGGCCCACTGAAAAGGCTTTTAACGTTTATTGGTTTTTATTAAATATTCCGGGCCAGTGGCGATGCCGCAAGCATATTAAATTCATAGAAACGGGTTGCTCAATTTATTGGGACTCACTCAAAGGAATATTTAAGTTTGATGTTCACAAAAATCTAATGTGTGGAATATGCATAATGACTTACACATTCTCATTATAGTAACTTTAAATTGTTCACAAAGCTTTGAAACAAAAAAGCTTTTTGTGATTATATTCTCGAGTTATAATGTATCCCCAAATTGAATTTAAAAAGCCAAAAAATACATTTAATATAAACAAGCAACCCAATGCACTGAAGCTTTGATATTTTCTCAAACACAATTTGGCATTCTCACAATATTTGTTTTATATTTTACTGCATATGCCTTGGCTGGTGACTTTCAGTTTCATTCGAGATACAAGAATTTAATACTCCACAAATCAAGTTTAACAAATAAACGAAATCATTTTCGTAGAACTTTTAAGAGTAGAAAATTTAAACATCGATTGGCAGAAGAAATTCGTTTGTTGCCGACCAACATGGAATCATTCAGAGATGTCTACGAAAAGTTGTTTGTTGATTGGCACATTCAGTGTGGAGAAAATCCCATTCATAGCTGGTGATATTGAAATATTTACTGATTTTCCTACTGCAAATTATGTATGCAATTTAAACAAAATTATTTATGTGCGAAGATTTTTCAAATATTTATACCAGGCTAACAAAAGTGCATGCACACATTTATTTCTATTTGTGAATATCTGTGTTGGGTATTTGTGGGCAGTTTTCGGCTAGTCTTTGTTAGCCTCGACCGGCCAAAAATTTAATTAAATCTGTGCGAGGCATTTCAATTCATTTTCTATTTACACTTTGTGACAATTTTTACGCGTCAACTTCTCTGGTGTATCTTTTTGTTTCGGGCGACCCATTGTTAGTTTTTCGTCCTTTTCGAGGCCTGGAGTGTGGACCCTCCATAAATGTTGCATGAGGCGCACTTCCCGTTTCCTGTCAGCGCATTTCGCTTTCATGACAAAGCAGAAAAAGGCGAGCTGAGGAAGCGAAGATTTTTGGGTGGCTAAGCAGGAAGCCCAAACTTTGAAGTTGCCGGATGCTGGGCTGTTGTGTCGCTTTGACCTACAACCGATTTGCGAGGCAGTTGCCCGGCCAAAGGACGCCGCCCAAAATAGTTGATGCTGCGGCAGGCTCTTCCCCAATGCCGTCCCAATTGATCCATTATCAGTTGTCCGACCTCGGAAAACACCTGACCACCAGATGCGGCGGTTTCAATTACCCGCACTTCCACTCACTGTCACCTCGCTCTCAACTTAAATATAATATTTACAAAGTTTATTAATGTGTGTGGCACCTTCGAGGGGAAAGCCAAAAGACAAAGAACCGTGCAAAACCATCGGGAAGACGGAAAGAAAAATACAATTATAATTATTTATTATGCGACAGTTTCCACTCTGGCTATCTGCGTCTCTTCGGCTCCTTTGTTGCACTCTCTGCAAACGAAAGCGAAACGAAACTGTCGCGAGAGTTGGCCATAAATCATTTATGCAGCAGCCCTCACACACACGCCAGCAAACAGACAGACAGTCAATACACTGAGGGAAAACTGTGAAAACTTTAAAGGGGTTTAATGCTGAAACATGGGAAGATAAATTCTCAAACGTCATTGTTTAACCTTATAACATTTATTTAACCGGGGAAAACAGCATGCTTATATAATTAGTGTTTTAAAATGCAGTAGTTTTTTACAAAATATAGTTCTTGTCAGTAGCGAATCTACGATTTTAAATCAAATTTGTTTTGTCATACCATATCAGTTTTCCCCCGAGTGGGGTAAGAGTACTTGTTTAATAATAAAGAAAATTAAAAAAGTTTTTGTTATTTTAATAAGCTGACGAAATGCCAATTCATTTAATTTAATTAATTTAATTTTTAATTAATAAAAATATGGGTATCGCAAATTTAGCAGATACCAAAAGGTTAAAAAAAATATCATATCCTATATATCCTATATAATTATATATTATTAATTTCAAAAATTGTTTCTGTTGATTTTCTTAGACTTTTTATTGCAATGTCCTGACCGCATTTAGCAATTTCGAAAAACTTTTCTTTGTGCACGGATACCCATACGCATGCTGAGTATACAAAGTGGCATAAATCAACTTACACTCGCACACCTACACCCATCACTTACGTGGAGGGGGGCGGTATGTGTGGGGGGTTTGAGGACGTGCCTGCAGTCATATGCAGAACTTGCAAAGAGTCCTTCCCCGCTTTCTCCCAAAGTAAAGACGCTGCAGAAAAACTGGAAAACTTACGCGCTCCGCTTCGTCGCCTTTCCTTTCGTCTCCCTCCCTTCCCTGCCCTTTGCTTTACCATTCCATTCCCCGCTCCCCTCAATTTTTTTGGATGCATGTCAGTGCCTTGTGTGTCTTTTGATAAGCGCACTCGAAGCAACAGAAAGTATAGCGCGGCATAAGCTGCAGGCAGGGAAAAAGAAGTATAAGTTTTCCCCGCTTTTTTGGCTTTTTTTGTTTTGTCTGCTTCACGCCAAGCACTTTATTGGCAGTTGCTGAAGTATGCAGCGCAGTGTAAGTTTGCTCGTTGAATTTAATTTCTGGCATGTGTGCCAGGGGTTAAGGGCGTGATTAGATTGCTTTTTGCACGGGGGTGGAGTGCCAACTTAAAGCACCAACTGCTGTTGATAGGACCAGAAAATTTGAAAATGAAATTTATCTTTGGCTGCTTATCATTGCTGCAAGTATGTTTAAAATAGTAATAAAATTGGTATATAATCTGAAATCTATTTATTTGTAATTTTTTTCTAAACTTAATTTTGTTTTCTATTCTACACCAAAGGAAAAATTACATGGCAAATGAATTTGACATACTTTATGTCAATTTTACTCGAAATGAACATTTTCTTTATTTTACTATTTTTATACCCGTTACTCGTAGAGTAAAAGGGTATATTGTATTCGTGCAAAAGTATGTATCAGCTAGAAGGAAGCGTTTCCGACCCTATAAAGTATATATATTCTTGATCAGGATCACTAGCCGAGTCGATATAGCCATGTCCGTCTGTCCGTCTGTCTGTCCGTCTGTCCGTCTGTCCGTCTGTCTGTCCGTATGAACGCTGAGATCTCGGAAACTATAAAAGCTAGAAGATTGGCATTTTGCATGTAGATTTTAGGAGTTCCTACGCAGCGCAAGTTTGTTTCAAAAAGGCGCCACGCCCCCTTTAACGCCCACAATCGCTTAAATACGATTTTAAAAATTTAAATATTTCCGAAAAGTAAAAATGCAGTTTTATTGTGTTTATCAATACCTATCGAAATGTAGAAGAAATTTTTCAAATCGGACCATTCGTTAAAAGGTTATGCGTGATCAAAGTTTCTATCTCCATCTCCCTCGCACTCCCTTTACCTGAGTAACGGGTATCTGATAGTCGGGGCACCCGACTATAGCGTTCTCTCTTGTTTTTTTTTATGTCTTCCAATTTTAAGAATCCTTCTAGCCATTTAAATCAAAAAAATTACTCCGTCGTGGGACCGCTGGGCTTAGGTGTAAGCAGATCGGCCGATAACAAGTTGTGATCCTAGCATCAGAATTCACGGCCAAATTGAATTTTAAAAATCGAAAATCCCAAAAATATATAATAATTGTAATATCATTTTGAGCCACACTTTTTAATTTGACACTCAGATTTAAGATTTGTTGGTCGTTGGTTTAAGATTTGTTGGTCGTTTTTGAATTCAAAATTAAATGTGTTTTTTTTCCGTTTGAATAGACAAAATCCATTTCAATTTTAAGATTTCTTATATTGACATAAGTGTATTTTTCATCAGGGTATCCTTAATAATTTTTAGCCTGTTTTTGCCATTAACCCAAAAACGCAATGGCCTGAGGGATAACCATGTCCACCTTTTTTCATCCTCCTCGGCCAACGCTGGCAAACGTTTTGCGTATGTTTATCCGAACTTCCGTCGATTTACAAAATTATAATTGCACTCACCCATGGGAAGGTGGGAAATTCTGGGGGATTTTGGGACGGGTTGGGGTGCAGTGCACGGTACGTTTACAATGCACTTCCGCCCCATTGTTGTTTTGCATGTTGACATGGTGCAGGCACCGCCAGCGAGGCAGCCAGACATATTACTCATACGCCGTGTTGTCGCTGCCGGTCGGTGGGAGTGTGCGTGTTGACAATCATGTATTCGCTGGTTTTTCTGTTTTCTTTTTTTGTATTGCCCTGCTGTTGCCACTAATGTGCCACGCCCCTCGGCGGCGAGAAGTTGAGCTGACAATCGTAAGCCGAGAGGTGGCAGAGCGGGCCAGTCAAGTGTGTGGGCGTTGCCCGCTCGCCTTTTCTTTTGGCCCCCTTACGCCCTCTCCCCCGCTCCCCTTTTACCCTTACACAATAACAATGGCAGCGGCATCAACAGCAGCTGCAACAATGCAACGTGACAACTTCCGTTGCATTCGCCTGCTGGCACAAAGGAAAGCGACAAAAAGTCGCATACAAACAAACACTCATACGCCCCGTGGAAAAGAGGCGAATGGAAAACTGTAACGGAATCGGATTGTGCGGGGGAAAATGTTTTTTCCTGCTCTCGGGGAACAACAAAAGAACACACAGCTGGCAAATCGGAGGCAGTCCCCGAGAAATATGGCAAACCCTACTAACTGCATCGGCAAGATATCACCTGAAATGCGGCATATCAATTATTTGTGCTGTGTGCTAACCCGCTGCGTGATTGCAGGCCAAATCAATTAATTGGATTCCATTCGAATCGGTTTGATTTGATTCAACCGCCCTGCAGCACGCCTCATGCAATTCCATTTAATTATGCTAATCAGCCCACGAGTGCACCGAGCTTGTTAATTAGTTTTTTTTTCTTCTAATTAAAATGTATTGGCTTGACCAACTATGACAACACTGTTATATATACAAAAAATCACTTTCGTCTAGAATGGCCTGTTCCGCCGCTAGCTCTGCGGTTTCCTCTAATATATGGTCATAGGATTCGAACTCGATGACGGAGTGACCGGACTCAAAAGCACAAATAACCAGTTTGAAAGCGTAGGCACAGGGTTCATCGGAAGCCGTTTCCATGCACTTTGCGATTGATTCCGCTGCTTCACTGGTGGCACTCATCGACTCCAGATCCATTTTACCCAGATCGTTCAGCCACTTTTTCGGCTGCCTTTCTAGCTGACATTTGATGTTGCACTTGAACTTCAATTCGACCGTCTCGTTGAGAACATTCTCCAAATTCTCAAACTGCTCAAACCATTCGTATTCCTCAATAAGAATACTATGAATTTTTAGACAAAATTCAAAATCATCAAGGCTTTCTTCGAAAAAGTCAAAGGGATGGTGAGCCTGAAAGATATTTTTTATAATACGATTTAATCATCTACCTGATTATCTCACCTTAGCTTGGCTGATCAAAGCCAAGACCAGAAGCGCAAAAATTACAGGTCTGTTGATGAACATTGTTGATCTTGAACTGAACAATTGCTAGATAAATTTCCATTTGATTAGAACAATTTCTTTTAAGTTGATTAACCAGTTTTTCACGATTATAGATTTAATTTGCTTATTGATCGGTCTATATTGTTACCTGCCTCTCGTAGGCTCAATTATCTAACTTATGCAAATGTGTTTAGCTTGTGTTTCCCTTAAGATAGAAATTAAACAGATCAACTTCTTGATTTATCGATACTCTTAAATTCCTGGAACTCGACCTGCTTGTCATTTTACAACAATTAAAACATTCTTTGCGAGGGCATAGATGCGTTCCTTATATTCTTAAAAGACAGTTATGAAAATCTTATTTGTTCTTGTTAATAAAAATGATAATTTTTTAATTTTAAACAGGAACCAACAAAAATTATTATTTGTAACTTTTCTTTTTATAATATTAATGCGATTTTAATTGGTTTTAATTTGGCTGATTTTGTATACATTTTATTGGCAAGGGTGATTGGCGTTTTTATATACTTTGTGAACACTTTGAGATGATTATAAATAAAACTTACTGTAGTTCTTAACAAAAAAGTTTCAAAAAACGATAATTTTCGGTTCTTGATTAAAAATTAACTTTTTCCTCAGTTTAGACAATGAGCGGAAGAAACTACTTATCTTATATGAACAAATAATATTATAGCATAAGTCTTATTCTTACTTGGGAACTTGCACATTTATAAAGTATAACTAATTAGTCGGAATCAACAAGGGGATGACCAGCCTTGAACCCACAAATAACCAGTTTGAAGCTGTAGGCACAGGGTTCTTCGGAAGCCCGATTCATGCACTTGGCAATGGAGTTGGCTGCTTCACTGGTGGCATTCATCAGTTCCAGATCCATTTTACCTTGTTCATTCAACCATTTGTTCGAGTCCCTTTCCAGCTGGCATTTGATATTGCACTTGTACTTCAAATCTACGTTCTCGTTGAGTAGGTAGTCAAGAGTCTCGAACCGCGCATATTTCTCGTATTCGCCAATCGTTATGTTATTAAGATGCAGACATTCCTCAAAATCGTTCGGATTCCAATGAAAAATATCAAACGGATGGCGAGCCTATAACAATATTTTAAGATATACCCAAACAAAAAGCAGTAAATAGAGTTATTCCCACCTTAGCTAAGCTGATCAAAACCAATATCAGAAGCGCACAAATTGCCGGTCTGTAGATGAACATTGTTGAAATCAAACTAAACAACAGCTTGTGAATTTCCCACTGACTTAAAACAATTACGTTTGAGTTGCTCAACCAGTTTTTGCAAGATTATTCATTTAATTTGTTTGTAGATACGTCGACATTTCTCTCCGCTTCGGTGACCTCATCGTTCTCTAAGCTTTCTGTCAGACAAGTCACCATCTTAAAAGCGTATTCGCACTTATCCTCCTCACCATCGTTAATTTGCTTGCAGTCGTAGAGAATCTCGCGAAGCTCATCGCTCACAGGTTCTATTTGGTCAATCAGGTCCACATCCAAGTAGCCATTAGAGTCCAGTATGTTTCCCTTTTCACCCAGGCAATGCACGAAGCACTTGTATCTCCTCTCGGTATTCTCGATATCGTCCTCCTCGGAACTGGTGCTATCTATAAGCTCCTGGAACTCAGCCTGGCTGATATTATGGAGGGCTAGACATTCTGATACCAAAGCCGTTTCCTCCAGAACGGGTACACTCTGTTGAAAGAAAGTTCGGTTAGATCTGCCGTAATCAAGTGCTTCCAAGTTTGTTTACCTGAGCGAAAACCACGATGGTAGCCAATATAAAAATTACCCCTAGCTTGAACATTATCTAACAACTCGCAGAATCTTTTTCAAGATGAATATGGACATGGGCTTCCCTTTCGCAGTAAGCACTTCGCAATAAACTGTTAGCCGGAGAAAAGCAGTTCAGAATTTTATAGAAACTGGCTTGCGGGTAATTTATGGAGACCAGGTTATCTGCATCTAGCTTACTAATTAATTGCTGCCAACTGGTTACGGAATACAATATACAATATAAACCTGACGAATACACGATCTGTCGTGCATTTAATTGAGTTTGAAAACTCGGAACTGTAACAACATCAGATTGAGCTTGGGAGCAGTGATTGATTTGAATTTTCACTGATTATGTTTATACCCTTGCAGAGGGTATTATAATTTCAGTCAAAAGTTTGCAACGCAGTGAAGGAGACATTTCCGACCCTATAAAGTATATATATTCTTGATCAGGATCACCTCCTGAGTTGATATAGCCATGTCCGTCTGTCCGTCTGTCCGTCTGTCCGTCTGTCCGTCTGTCCGTCCGTCCGTTTCTACGCAAACTAGTCCCTCAGTTTTAAAGCTTTTAAAGTTTTAAAACTTTCCCAAAAGTTGTCTTTCTATTGCAGGTAGTATATAAGTCGGAACGAGCCGGATCGGGCGACTATATCATATAGCTGCCATATAACTGAACGATCGGAAAAGCCATAACTTTGGTGTTTTTAAAGATAAGAAGTTGGGACTTTCTATGGGTTTTATTTTTGGCCAATCAATCCGACATACCGAATTTCATAAGGATCGGCCGACTATATCTTATAGCTGCCATATAACTGATTGATCGGAAGTGCCATAACTTTGGTGTTTGTCAAGTAAAGAAGTTGGGATTTTCTATGGGTTTTATTTTTGGCCAATCAATCCGACATACCAAATTTCATAAGGATCGGCCGACTATATCTTATAGCTGCCATATAACTGAACGATTGGAAATGCCATAACTTTGGTGTTTTTAAAGTTAGGAAGTTGGGATTTTTTATGAGTATTAAGAATGCATCATATGAATAATATTGGAGAATATAATTTACAGAGTATTCTGCAAGGGTATATCAACTTCGGCTCCGCCCGAAGTTAGCTTTCCTTTCTTGTTTTATATTTATTTTCCACAGTTTTTAAAGGCCAAGCACTGGGGCTTTTTTCCAGTAAAAGCAAACACCAAGAGAAAAAGTCCACGTAAATTTCATTTTATAAATTTTATACGCAGTGAAATTCGCATAACATTTCCTGTCAACATATTTTTCAACACTTTTGCTGCAAAAATGAAGCGACAACTGCAGCGGCAGGAGCAACACAAAGCGACAAATTGCGATGACAGGAGGGGAGTCTAGTTTGGTTTGGTTTGGGTAAAGACATTCCTAACTATGCAACCGACCCCATGCAACTCTAGACAACAAATGAAAATTCCAAGAATATTCACATTCGCAGTGAGTTTTGGCTTTTGCGGCCGGGACTTTGTCTGCTCTTTTTCCGAACCCCTTGCCCCGAAAAACCGCTTGTCGCGTTGTTTACTTTGGTTATTTACGGCCTGAACAATTTTTTCGGCCCTCTTTCTTTTCACGCTGCATACTTTGGCCGGTTGCCAAAAAGGAAATATGTGTTGGGAAAATTACAAATTTTTATGGTCATCGCTAGGTGCTAAACTGTGTCCTCGGCTGACCCGGCCTGTCGCTTCCAGTCCTGTCAAGTCCTGCTGCATAATTGCGCTGCTATTTCTCAGTTCCTCCCAATTTTTGATGTTTAATGGAAATTTCGCATTTCCGCGGGCCCTGTTTCGGCTGGCCTGCCTTTGTTTGGGGGAAAATTTGATTATTTTGGGTTTGGATAGGTGCGCTCCAACGCTAATTAGGCCTATGAAAAGCACATTTGCAAATGTGTTTGCTATTTTTTGGCAGTTGCATAATGTACGTTTCAACATGCACAATGGAAATATCCAAATAATGCTATTGTCGAACTTACCTACAGAAAAATCTTTTTTACATTCATTATAAGGGAAGAGATTTGAGGTTATTAATTAAAACCCAATAATAAAACAATGTGATTTGGCAAACTTAAATTTCGTTTTTTTTATTAAAGAAAATAGTTTTCAAAATGTGTGGAATTTAAAATACAGATTTTAGGCACTTTTCATTGGAAAATGTGTTCCAAATTTTAAAAATTTAATGAGGAGAGGAAAACAATGTCCACATCAAGTTTCAATGAAGGTTAAAAAAAATCCCAAAATCAAATCCAACTCTTCACTGACAGCTTCTGCCATTTATTTAAGATGTCAGAAGGAGCTGGCGAAGTTTGCTCGCCCCTTTATTCAGCTGTTGCCTTTGCTACCTTTTCGGGAAAGTTGCCACAACAAAAGAAAAACTAAGGGGAAAATATGTGTAAAAAGTTTTTGCAGCTTTGCGTAATAAAAATAAATAGTAAGTGACTTCAATATGCATGTCACGTATTTTGCATGCACTTTGATGGCAACGCCACCGAAAAAACCCACCCACATACATTGTGGCACGTGCAGAAACACAATGGAATTTCTCGAAAAATGCGTAAAATGCGCCGGGCAGGCAGGGATCATAGCTTAGCCAAAGGATTCTCAGCAACTTGGCCTGAGACTTCGACTTCCCAAGACAATGCAACAAATTAATGGGCGAAATCAGGGAGCTTGCTAACGACAATGACCAGGTTGCAGGTTCGTTTCGGGACATAGGACCACTAAGGAGTTTACATTTATCAATTAGGTTGAAATGGAGAGCAGCAGAGGCAGCTGCCAAGTTCAGTGCAATGGCAGTAAGGATCCCGAACCACTGGGGTGTGAATCGCTCCTCCAAGACAAACAAAGCATGGGAAGGCATCCTTGGGAATGCAAGTGTTCCGGGGAGCAAGGAGCATGGAGCATGGAGCAGGAGACAGCTGCATCTTTGGCTAGAGGCAAAAGCAAAATGGAAAGCGGAGCAGAGCAAGACAAACCCACTTCCCAGGCGGTAATTACAAAATTTTTAATTAAATGTTAAGCGTGGGATGGACGACTTTAAGCGCTCATAACTGAGAATGGGCACGCCGCAGAGCTTTAAGTTCCCCGGTTCGGAGACAATGAATACTACTTGACTCCCAGATGAGTTCTGTTTATGCCGGACTTTCGCAATTTTTTCACAGCTCTCCGTGAGATTTGCACGCCTCGCTGCATTTGGTGACAATTTCTCCACCCACGCAAATGAGCTTACACATGGTATGCCGGTTCAGCCGGATTTGTGGGGGTTCTGCATCAAGGACAGCGGTACGGAAAAATATTTACTTAAGAACTTAATCCAGACCAATCAATTTTAGCAAAGAAAAACATTTTATTTATAATTAAATCAAGAACAATCCCTTTTAGTACAGAAAAATATTTACTTTAGAAGTTAATCTGCAAGAATCGGTTTTAGTATTGAGAGATATTTACTTTAGAATTTAAATTACAACAATAACTTTTTCTTATATCATCTTAATTTATTGCACTTATTAAAATATAATTATGTAAATTTAAAAATACACTTTAAGGTCAGAATAATCTTGTTCAAAGTTCAATGTACTCATTGACAAAATATTTTGTTATTGGACGGGTATGTTCTTTGTTTTAAAATAATTTTAACTTATATATATTTTTATTGAATATTTCCAGCCTAGATTCCCTCCCAAAAAAAAGGTGGCAAATCTGCGCATAAGAATCGCAGGACCTTTTTTTGGCAACAACTGGAGAGCTTAAAGTTTGAGCTTAGAGCTCGTGTGCGAATAGTTTTGCCGTATTTGCAGAGGAAAAGAAGGACGAGTGGAAGAGAAAGCGTATCGCTAACTAAAAATAAACCGAGTGTTAAACGTGGCTTACACACTGGCCATTTTTATTGCCAGCCTGGTCCGTCAGCCGTGAATAATCGCATTAGTTGTGAAATTAAAAATTACAAAATAGAATAGATAAATCCGCCCACGGCTCGCTGGTTGGCTAGTTGGCTTGAGGTAAGCCTTTTGTTGAGCCAAAGGCAGAACTATTAACTGTCCCCCTGCCCGTTGTGTCCCACATAAATTCGATTAAAACGTCCTTTTTTCGGATAGGTCGGTGGGTGGGTGTGTGTGTGTGTGTGTCCGTGGACTTACTGCTAATTGAATTGCCGAGTCGAAAGGGAATTAGTTAAGCCGGTTCGAGGGTTAATGTGCTGGAAGTGGACCCAAAGCTTCCTAAGGGGTCAAAGGTGGGTCAGCGAGTTTTTTAAGGGTGTGGAGAGCTCATTATTCTTGAGTAGGCTAACGTTTTCATTGTGCCTTTGAACTGACAACTTGGGACACTAATGCATGTTTATTATTGCCTACTTTTCAGGGCGTATGCCCAAGCATGTCAGTCAATATCCTTGAGGAATGTTCAATTTTATATATCTTTGATATGCATAGATGCCTCGTTTCGCCATGCATATTTTATTCAGAGCAGTTGACCAAGATGTCACAATGATGATGACGTCAATGCCTTTCTTTTTTACCAAGTCTGGTGTAAATTTAAATCCAATCTCATAGCAACCGAAAGGCAATGGCAGCAAAAAGATGAGGAGAAAACGAAGAAGTGAAATCAATTTCTTTTGTGTGACATTTGAAAGGTTTCAAATGATTTTCAATTGTTGTTGCATTGACAATTCACCAAAGCGGAGCGGACTCTTCTTATATATGCGCCCTCCTCCTCCGCTCAATATATACAAGAATATATTGACTTTGTCCGTATGAGCTTCATAATCCGATTTTCGAGTTAAATGATTCGCTTTCTCGGCTTTTGTGCACTGCCAACGGCTTCAACTTTGACCCCACGCCGTGGACGGGTTCAATAAACATTCGCACAGGTGACTGCCTGCATTGTGTATTAAATTCCGGCACTTAACCCCCTTGACTGAAACTGTCTGCCGGGTTGGCGGCATGGGTTAAACAGCACTAGACGGCGACTCATTACTTGAGTGCTAAAATGGGTGGCTGCTGCTGCTGCTACTGCTGCTCGGCTGCCTTTTTGTGGCAATTTTGGAGTGCGCTTTCTGCAGTTTTTAACTTGAAACAACAACAGTGAGTCAAGTC